GTAAGAACTTAGAAAAAAAAGATAGGGAGAAAGAAAGTCAGAAAATATTTCTCATAGCGAGATATGGATGGAATGGATGGATAGTTTAAATGTGACATACATTTTCGTTGTCCGTTTAACTCTTCACCTGTCAGACGTAAGTATAACGTAAGTATAAATCGTGGATAGTAATGCTTTCTTTATCTTTCTGAAATATTAATTAATTTATATTTGATTAGATGTTTATTCTTATAATGATTCTTCTTTAACCATCAAATCTATTAAGAATTTAGTGTGCAGCAAATAAATTTGTGAAATACGAATTAAAAAATTGGCAGATATATTATAAATAATAACGACAAAGAAATATCTGTGAAAGTGATACTGTTCTTGAGATTAAATCGCTTTAATTTAAAAATTTCACAAACTTTTTCTGAGACATTGGTAAAACTTCTCAAACGATTGATCGAAGAGAATGCAGGGTATTTACTGTAACAGAGAAAAATTAAGCTACTTTACATTGTCAAGCAAACAATACCGATTCATTTATATGCATCGATATGCAACATCACGTTTCTTAATCCAATGATTAAGCCGATGTAGAATATAATTCTACATTTACAATATCCTTTATACGTGCTAACTCAACTGATAACAATCTATCCTCATCTATTTTTTATGATTTCGTTAGCAACTTTATTTTTCTTATTTATTTTAAGTTAAATAAAAATTATTCTTGTTTATTAAACGAATTATAAAATTTAGTAACTATGTTATCATTAATTTTCTTTTGAGATGATGTTTGAGATGTTAGAAGTACGAATTAAATGTATTAAATAAAATACAAGATTTATTTATAACAAACTTTTAATTTGATTTTTGAATTGAGAACTTTTTATATACCATCGCAAGATTTTCTTCTGAAACAAAAAAAGAGATCTGGAAGTCTACTAAATTAACTTCAACTAAATAGAAGTCTAAAGTAACCATTAATAATATTAAGTAGTAAGAAAATGAATTTTGTATAATAATATTAAAGTATCAGCCGGTGGATTAGGTAAATTAGATTTCTAAGTGCTTTATGAATCTATCCACTCATTTGTTAAGGAACACATATATGGAATACCTTATAAATGTAATAGACGTATATGCATTTCTAACATATATAATTCGCATTTCTAAGCAAATATGTTCGTCGAGAATTATTGTGTGCACGATGCATTGGATGAATATATGGAATCTAATTGACTTCACGACATTTAGATAATTGGCTATCAGTAATATTTGAACTAATTACTTACATATCGATTTTAATATGATTTCAAACTGTAATCGAAATTGTCATTGAACACTATTTAATTTCACATTTTTACTCATTACCATTATAAGAATTTACGTAAACGTAAAATCGATAAAATAATAATATGTTCCATTCCGTGTTCTGTTAATTCAGTCTATTTCTTTTATTTTCTTCCTTGGAAGTTAGAAACGTGTATCTCGATTAATACAAGTTAAGAAGCTATCAGTATTTCATAATTTTTCTAATCGGATGATACTTTAATTTATATCTAACTGTTTAGAACATACATCATGTTAATCTTTCCTCATCTTATGCATTAGGAATACCTAATACAATAGTATCTATTCAATATCAGGTCAATAAAATGTTTCGATCTCTTTAGATAAGGACAGGAAGAATCAATTATAATTTTTAGGTATCATCTTAAACCAATACCACCATCAAGAAATTAATTCCAAATGGAATTATTCAGTAACGTGATGTAAAGAAGGAAATTATTTTTTGATTTTCTCTGTGGTCACAATTGTATTTAATAAAAATGTAGAAAAGAAACGATGAAATTGGAATAATATGTATTTGTTGAACGGTGGAAGGGGATCGTAACTTCCGTGCTTGTCCTAGGCGCTGTTTATATTCTCTGGCTGTATTATTAATAAGATTCTTTTCTTTTTCTTTTAGGAACTTCAGAATATTAATCTTTTGAATTTACATGTTATCGTTAATCAACATTGAATCCACGTTCTTTCAGATCTGTCTTTGGCAAAAGTTTCGCGACCTTTATTAGAAAAAAAAAAAAAAAGAAACCACTTTAATTACGCTACCAGACTTAACAAAAAATACCAATGAAAAGAAAGGTATTCGCTTTATTACTATACGAGAATAAAGTCGGAGTAGATTCGTCCGTTAAAAAAAAAAAAAAATCCATTCCTCGTAGATAAAACATCGTTCGAAATTAATTTTTACGTTATTCTACGTAACAGCACGATTTAATTAGAAGGCATATTTTATTAAAGAAAAAGTTAATGCACTATGTGATGGTGTTGAGTTGCTTGAAAAAAGAGAGAGAGAGAGAGAGTCAGAAAGAGACAATGAAAGAGAGAAAGAGAGAGGGAGACAGAAAGACAGAAAGACAGAAAGACAGATAGACAGACAGACTGACAGAGGCAGAGAGAGAGAGAGAGAGACAGAAAGAAAATTTAATGAAATAAAGAAAGCTGATTGATCGTAGTGCCGAGGATTTACAGTTCGTCACAAATCGGATCGAAAGAATCATAGGAAATAGAAAAAAAGTGTCTTCGTTAGGCTAATCATTTTCGATCAAGTGCAGGACTATTCGCTGTATGATAAATGCATGTACGTCACTAAAGTTTTTGATTTATGAATTGAATTTTATGAAAAGCGGAAGAATCGTACAGCGTATTAGACGTAGCAGATGTTATCTGAAAAGTCTCTCGGTAAAAATGAAATTGCCAAGCAGAAAAAATAAAAAGAATAACAAAATTTTCAATAAAGTGATGTTCTGATAGTCGCACATTTATAAAAATGATTGAAGTAGAAATTATAATTAAATACAAATTGAGAGAAAACACCAAGCTAGTTTTATTTTTTCTCACTCTTTTTAATTAATTTTAACGAAAATATAAAATATAAATAAAAATTTAATATTTATTGAACTAAATGGTTTGTTATTGCTACATACCATGACAAGTGTAATTTAAAGAAATAATAAAGGGACAGAATATTTCTCATATTAATGAAACTAATTGTTTATTTAATAACAAAATGAGATGCGAAAAAAGAAAAATAAGAAGAGAGGGAGAGAAAGAGAGAAAGAAAGAAAAAGAGAGAGAAAGAGAGAGGAGAATAGTTTTTCATTTTGCAGAATATAGAAATCATAATCTTGGAATTGGAATTACGTGACTACAAGAAGATTTGAGTAATAAGATAGGATGCGAGTAAAAGATGCGAGTAATAAATTATTTTTTTTTTTATATCATCTGATTCTTAATCCTTAACAGAAATGAGATTGTAAATTTATGGATGGTCTTTTAAACAACTTTTAAGGTTTATAATATTTGCGTACGAACATACAAACGATAGAGAAACGAAAGAGAGAAAGATAGATAAAAAGAACGATAAGATAAAAGAAAGAAAAATAAATGAGAACGTAAGCGTACTCTTCAGGTGCGAAATGTTTGTTTTTCACTTTTCTTTTATTCTATTTCACCATCGATTGAAATGGAACATCGTTTCAAGGAAATTACAAAACTTTACAAAATTTTATCGATAAATTTTTGTACTCTTGATTTAAATTATATTACTTTCACGATGTCTTTTTCATGTATTAAAACAAATTACATGTTTGTTTATGATAGTTGAAAAGAATGACCTGATAAAACGATAACGTGATAAGAAAAAATATATAAAATTGATATAAACATTATCTTAGTTCATATAATCATTTATTTTTATTTTCTGAAATTATTTTCTGATTTAAACATTTTAATTATTTTTCAAGCTCGAAATTTCTTTCATGCATAATTCAGCTATCATTGAAAAAAGGATGCTGAAATTAATCCGAGATTAAGTAACGTCTAGCAACTCTACAAAAATACGTTGTCAGTTCTGATAGAGTCTAGCACCTTTATGTGAGTGACGTCCAAAGAATGTTTTAAAATGGGATGCAAGCTAATCTCGAGCTGCATGCTAAATAACTCACATCTTTCGTTTCATTTCGTCGTCCACGAAATGATCATGATGAAACCTGCTACATACTACGTCCTTTTTACTATTTGCATATTTTTTACCAAATGTTGTTCCTCTTGATTTTAACTCTAGCTTTTTTCATCGTATTTTAAAATATTTTATTTTATTTTATTTTATTTTATTTTTATTTTTTTTTAATAAACGTATACTTTCAATCATACTCATTTCTTTCTCTTTTAATTAATCATATATTAATGGCTTATTTGTGATTAATTATAAATAAATTTATAAATAAAATATTAAAATATTAAATTGAATTGATAAAGATCGTCGAAATAACGTAAAATAACTATTATAATTTGTTCTTTTAGGATTTTTCAAAGTATCTCTAAATATACATAAACGTCTTAGTTTTCACATTTCTTTGTACATACTGTAGTATTTTATTTCTTCCTTTTTCCTAGTTTCAATGGGTGCATTACATTCAGGCAAAATGCCAAGATGCACTTAGCTATCTTTGCCACCTCACTTTTTTTTTACTTCTGCCATTAAGAAAATATTCTTCGAATAAGGGTTGCGACAGTTTTAAATCAACGAGGTCTAACCCTCGTTGATTTAAACCCTTTCCTACTTTCCATTTTAGTAACAATAAACCGAGCAGGGATAAATTTCTCTCGTTTATTTAATCGGATCACTAGGCGGCATTCATTTTACACTTTGGAAATCTTCGTTGATCTCAAAGTGCTCTGTCATTCGTTATTACACTTGGAAATTATATTCCCAGGATCAGATGATCTTTCACGTCTTCTTTTGCAAAATTATCGCATGATATGTGATCAATTTTAAGAAAATGCATGATACGTTCAATGACGTTTTAAAATTTGAAGATGATATATCAAGCAAAAAATTATCGATCGTTATGCTTTCTCTACTGTCGAATATTTTGCTAAAAATCAAGTATACTTTTCTCGTGTGTGTTACGTAGATTAAGATAGAAGAGGAAAAGAAAAAATAAAAAAGGAAAAAATACATGAGCTGCGAGAAGAAAAAAAAAATGATCTTACTTTTCTAAAGATGATAAGATAGTTGGATAAGTGTAGTCGAGTAATGACAATAGATGAAGCCTTGGAATTTTCATTATCGACTACCACTTTTCACAGAACTATTTTCCTCGAGGGCACGAGTATAAATGAAATCGTAAGGAACGAAAATACGTACGTTGTTTCGCAAATCCTTCTAAACATCTAATTTTGATCATTTCCAGCAATATCGTTTATTTTTCCATACGCGTCGATGCGAACTAGCTCGCATAGTTTTTATTAAAAAAAAAAAAAAAAGTATAAAAGTTTTAAGAAATTAAAAAAAAATGGTAATTTCAAAAAGTTAGTTACTTATTTTACATATTTGGATTAAACTTTCAGCAAATAATAATTTTCTTCTTTTGTTAGTTCTTTTGAATTGTATTTTTTAAAAATGATAAAAGTTATAATTTCAAAAAATTACAATTTTTTTTATTTATAAATTGTTTACTTATTTTTGATTTATAAATTGTTTCAAAAGAATATGAAAAATATTTATAGAAAAAGATTGTTATAATTATTCGTAAAAAAGTAAAGCAATATTTAATTATGTCATCGAACCTTTTATTTCTCTCAGAGTTATTCGGACATTTCCTCTTCGACGATGTCGTCAGCTGTGTTTGGCATTCTCATTGATGAAACAGCATGGAGCTGTTACACTTTTGTTGTTTCATCGATAGTAATAACTCAAGCATACTAACAATAACCAGAATGGGAGAAAGAGAAAAAGGAAGAAAACTATGTCGATCGAACGGCTGTTTAGTTGAAAGATTACTATTATTATTTGAGAATATTGGACGGATATTAATAATAAAGATTTCCCTAAAGATTTTAAACCTATTAAGAATTATTTGAAATTGATATATTAACGCACTTGTTTAATTCAATTGATATAATGACTATTATTGATGAAAATATTGATGAAGACTAGTTTATCAATTTTTGTTTAATTTACGCTCATAACGTTATATAATAATGTAATTAAATAATATTATTTCCTCACTTTTTTTCACTCATTTTTTTTTTTTTTTGTTAAACCAACTTCTTATTGCGAAATTATAAAAATAAATATTCATTATCTATAAGTATATCGAACGTTTTATTGATTTCTTTTCTTTTCTTTTCTTTTTTTTTTTGTTTGTTTTTTAATTTTTTAATCAAGCGCAACAAAAGTTCCAGATCTCTTTAGAGGAACAATAGACAAAATATATAAGTAACTATAGCTTCGAGTAGTTTAGCTCGGTTATTATGTTGATCCTATAGTTTCACTGAACTCAGTTTAGTGGTTAGTGGACGCAAGTACCGTAAGTTAGATTAGTTTGCTCCACTTTTATTACAAAAACCAAGTGTACTGGCGTACATACATAAAAAGGATGAGTATTTGTCGTCGTATCATTAGTTGTTCATAGACGACTGACTGTTTTTCTTTCGAATGGCAATTTTCCCGAAGCAAGAAAACGTATGGCGCCATATGGACCATCACTCGTCGATTGAGAATAATTATTGATTTTGGAAATCAAGCTCAATACCAAATAATAAGCAAAATATCATACGCTTAATGCAGTAATAATATATACAATCATAATATATAAATAATAAATAAATATATATAAAAATAAATGGAAAAAAAAAAAACATGAATTTTCAAAACGAATCCTTCGAAAATCGAATATTTTAAATGAGTCACGTTATCTATCCATAAACTATTGATTGTATTTAATGGGAAAGAAAGAGAAGAAACGGAGAAACCATTGAAGCAGCTTTTAATTGACCTGAAACTCTTGAACCCTCCATGACTTTGCATATCTCAAACTTTTCCGTCAATCAATCATAAGTTTTTATGACTTCCAACCACTGTGTGTGTCTTTATAATCGGGAATAAGTTTTTACTTATATACATTGTTTCTGTTCTTTTCGATTAATTTATCAGGGAGAATATAAATCTATAAAGAAATATCTCATTCTTATGTTTCATTATACTTCTCTGTTAGATTATTACTACTTCTATTATCATTTTTATTATTATTATACACCTTTTTTACCATTATCACATATATAGTTATTATTATATTACATTATTGTTATTTTTTTTTTTTTTTTTTTAATTAAGTTGGAAAATATTTATTATTGACGGAAAATGACAAGATTACATATTCTTAATTAACTTAACTAACTTCACGAGTTTTTAAGTTCCACGATTTTGCACTTAATATCAAATGTCTCAATCCTTGATTGTTCATCTACTTATAAGTTTGTTATGCAAAATTAGAAATAGATGAAGTGTTTTGAGTCGATTTTCCCTATTGATATATAAATTATTATTCCTTTATTTTGGATATTTATTAAGTGATTCAAAACTCTGTCATTCATTTGAGAGAGGTTATCAGTATCAAGAGTTCTTTAACGATTCGAAACTAACTGTACTATCTCGGATTTGGCTTTTTGAAACTTGGAATTTTGGTCGAACGAAAATCTCAAGACCATTTACGAAATTATCCTGCATAAGATATATCTAACTATTCTTTTTTTAAAAGTAACATTCAAGGCAGTATCGCACGAAAAACAAGTTTTCAGTCCAATCAATCGATAGTTTAGTATTCTCATGAAAATACTTTCTATAAAATAGAAAGTATCCTGAAACCGTAATTTTATATAGATAAAGATTTATAGTTTTAGATATATGGTTGTGATTATGTAGCCCAACTTATTGATTACAGGTTTATTTTTTCGATTATTAAACTTCTCGAATGTAATTTATTCTATATGGAAGAGTTCTTAGTTCTCTTTGATTTTTATCGATTTATTGTTTTCTGGAAATTGCTTCAAAGCAAAAGTGACATATTTTTATACAACTCGCAACGAGTCTCAATGTTCCCGTCGAGATTTATGTCACCGTTTTCTTGGAATATACTGGGAAAAAGAAACTTCGTAGATTTAAAAGTTTTGTCATTTCAAGGAAGAAAGCAAAGTCAGTTTTGGATTTACACATCGATGCTTTCCTTTAAGTTATTGACGAACTTCTTAAAGCTTTGGTCTTCTTCGTTTTAATAAACAGTTCGTTATAGCTATGTTAAAAATTTTAATCGAAATCATGTCGGTCTAACTTTTTCTTTCATTTGAAGAGGAAAAACAGATATCTTTTCGATACTAATGATATATATTGTCGAATTAAATAACTCATTTGTTGTTTATTACATCAAAATCTCGATAAATCAAGAGAAATATTTATTAAAGATTAAAGATTAGATTGACTTAATCTCCATGATAAATCTAAGAGAAATAGTAGATATAACGATAGCATATCTGTTATCACAAACGTCATTTTTCTATCAACTTTTTTATCAATTTTTCTATCCATTTTTTAAATCACTGTTATATTTTGTTATTTAGTTAGATCAATTCTCTATGTCCTTAGATTAGCCTCATTCGTCAAAAAAAAAACCTGTTTTAATAGCATATATTAAAAGTAGTATTAATCAAATTTAATTTAAGTAAACTTTGTATACATTTTTGCGACAAAGTATTCTGCACTTTATTTTTGTGTAATTAATTATGAAATTTTATAACAAATGACAGACTAAATCGAATAGAGCTTGACCAATTTTGGAATTCAATTAGGAATTCCTTTGCCTAATTAAAATTACAGATGTACTATTTACATTTTGGATCAGAATAAATTCTAACATTTATTTTAAACTTTTGACTTCTAATTTTAATTCACTTGTGATATATTACGTCAAATAAGTTTATAAGATAATGTTCTGTGATAGTAAACTTTATGAAAATAAATGTTCATTTTTGAACGGATGTTTAGTTTTGTACTCTTGGATAATTAAATGCAACTCTATTTCATCCGTCTTATTTTCAATAAATATTTCTATGTCGCTGATAAAGCAAAAATGTTAATCTTTCTAATAACACTCACTCACTCACTCTCTCTCACTCTCTCTCACTCTCTCTCTCTCTCTCTCTCTCTCTCTCTTTCTCTCTGGTTGTTTTTTATTTTTTGGAAATATTTTCTTGTAATGAAGTTGGATTTGAAAAGCAAACGGTATCTTTAATAGTATCTCTGGTTTATCTTAAATCGTTGCAATTCATAAAAAGTATCTTATTTGTTGCATATTATAAATTATAATCGATAAATTATTATGGAAATTTTCTTCATCTTAGATGTAAAATAAATATTATTATAAACATCCAAGAAAAATGCATATCGAAAGATAATTTCCATATTAAATGAGTATACAATCCAATAGCTTTGAATCCAAATATAGCATTTCCCGATGATACAATTTTTCTCTAAGATACGAGTGATTTACTAAAAGTAAATCTTATTAAATGTTTTCCAATCAATCTTCATCCAATCTTTTGGCTAAAAGCTTCGGAATAATTTGTTTTCAGTGACTTGGGAACACTGCGATAAAATGGCTACAAGTAATGTAAATAAGAATAATATAGCTTTATGCGAATATATTTCAGTATTTTAATTAATTTACGATGTTTAACAAGCGGCAAACAAACTTTTCCTAACGATTTTCATTTTATAAAATGAATATGCAAACTTGAGGATAATAAATAAAGAAGAATCAGGATGCAAATTTTTCTTAAAATTCCGGTTTTTTTTTTGTATTTTCCTTTCATTATACATGCCAGAGGAAGAAAGCAACCTTTAGTTGGTAGCGGCCAATTATGGTTATTGTTCTTTTCTTTTCATTGGAAACAATTGAAAAAAATATCTTTGGGAACTTTTTCTACAAGTACATAACTTATGATTGTTGAACAAAAAGTCTGATTTTTTATTATCTTTTCCTGCATAGTAAAATATTATATTACATTATTACAATTCATGGCATGTAACCAAGTCAAACATGTTTTCCATTCAATTTTTTTAAAAACTAATATTAAGGTTACGTCGAACAAATAATTACTTACAAATAAAAACTTGTAACCGGCGAATTTAATTTCTTTATTTAAAGTATATCAAATAATCAATTGCTCTAAAAATTAAAAATCCTAAAGATCTAACTTCGATCATTGTCGTATGGAAATAAAATATTTTGCGTAATTTTTATATACCGGATTAAAAGATCTTCATTAGGTTTATTACTATTATTACCAATACTACTATTATTATTATTACAGTAATTTCATAATATCTTATTAATTTTCTAGAAGTATGCATTTAATTCGTTATTTTGTACCTTTTGAACATATTTCATGGATTTCATAACTTTAAAAACAGTTTTTCCACCGTAACACACCATCCTAGCGTTTCTCGTCTATGTCTTCTCTTTTTCATTCCCTTTTTCCGTTTCTTCTTACCCGACCCTCGTTCATCGTTAATGACTCCGCCCAGGGTTGTGAGACGTCATATACGTACGAGAGCGAGGGAAAAAGAATAAAAGTAAAAGAGAGAAAGAAAATAGATCCAGGAAAAGGAAAAGTTTAAAAGAGAAAGAAAGAGGGAGAGAGAGAGAGAGAGAGAGAGAGAGAGAGAGAGAGAGAGAGGATAGTGGAAAATTTCGATATTTAGATAGGGGAAGAGAAAAAAAAAAAGAAAGAAAACAAAGAAGCAGTACATCTATCTTATCAATTCTCTCCTTATCACGCCATGTTTTTTGTATTTTTATTTTATACTTCAAAACGATTTTTAGTAGACACTAAAAACTTCGTAAAGTATGTTTACGTTGCACACGATTTCAATGTCTTATTAATCATTCATCTGGTTTTTTCATTGAACCAATGTGTGTTTTTTTTTTTTTTTTTTTTTTTTTTTTTTTTTTTACAACGAACTCGATTGAACGAAAGGTTTATTCGCTTGGTAGTAGAAGTCGATTGATTTCCAAGGCGAAGTATACTCGATCCAGGCGACGAGAAATCGAAAGAGAACATAAAAAAGAGAATGGAAATAAGAGAGAGAGAGAGAGAGAGAGAGAGAGAGAGAGAGAGAGAGAAAGAGAGAGAGAGAATGGGAGGGAGGGGGGAATAGCTGTACGGATCGA